CGAAGAGCTGTTCGGGCCCGAGGGAGTAGTCGGGACCGCCGATGGCGCTGTCACTGACACATGGATGGTTGTGGTAGACGAAGAAGTCAGTTGGGATTCAATGCCTTTCGTCGAAGTCCTTGCTTTATTGCTGGCGGTGCACAAGCTTCCCTTAACCAGGGCCCCCGCTATCTTGCAGCTTGCCGCATTTCCTTCTTCATTATGGAAGTTGATCAAGCCGCTTCGATGCACCTCAACCCACGCAGAATTCTGACTGGAGCCACATAACATGGCTTTGAATGACGACGAATTGGAGTGTGTGCCTTTAGTTTCTGGGCTCAGGTCTCAAAGATGTCAGAAAAATTGTTCTTTCGTCAGTAGATTGCATTACTTACGGGAACATGATATTCCGTCAAGAGGCGCAAACGGCTCCGAGATCCCGGTGCAGTTGAAGTTCGCCGTGGAATACACAAAACATTGGTTATTATGGTCAATGATCTGAAGCGTTCCGCCAAAGACCGCCGAGATGAATGTAGAATAAATAAACAAACGACGCATGTTTCTTTCCCTTCTGGAGATGGGGTGTCTTCAGCAAACCGGGATCTATCTTGCTCTTTGAACCAGGCATTTTGTGACACGCGCGAGACTACTTATAGTTCCATTCCGAACAAAGCTACACGAACTTTCGAGCATGCTCTATCTCCGATAAGATTTACATAGTCATCAAAATCTTGACTTGGCCAAAGAACTCATGCCGAACGTATCTGTAAAGAAATTTTTGTTATGAGTTGTCGTGGAATTATAAATGAGAATCTATTCACTTATGAAATTGATAACAGGCCGCAAGCATTTATTGTTCCCATAAAATTGATACAATAATTTGGCTATCTTCTTAAAGAAATTACAATCATCAGTAGAAGTTGTACTGTATGCGCCCCTTGACTACGGTCGTACCACTCACTTCACAATTTTGCGGCCACTCAAAGGGTACCCAAGTTGCCAGAGAGTATCCCAAGAATTTCAAAAAATCTATTCGAAAGAAAAAAGGACTCTCAGACCCCAAAATCTGTTCCACCAGTTATAAAAGCTTTTAATCACCGGTCGTTTGAGGTCACTTAACTGAACCTTCCCACATAAACACAAACGTTTCCCACAATGCCGTACTGTTAAATTCTAGCTTCCTCATCTATTAAGAGAAGCGTTTAGGATTTCGCTTGGCCCCTCCTTGAAAAACAAGGATTCCACAGTCATAATACAATAGTCCGTCATCCCAGCTTTCGGCAGTATACCAAGCCTCTGATTCGACAGATTGAGTGTCCGAACTTGAAACAGTCATCCTTCGAGGCTTGAAACGGCCAAATTCTGAGTGGATATGTTACTCACTTACTGCATTTTCTTTTTAGGTGCAGCTACAATAATTCTCGGACAAACAGTCAGCCTCCTATTGCCCGGATTTCAAGGGCGTGAATTAGAAGCGAGCATATTATCTACCGTATGTGAGGAAATGCCGAGATATTAGACTTCCAGAATCTGAATTAACTTCTTATCACATTCTAGGATGATGAAGCGACCACATTCCTTGTGACTTGCCCTCAAACCGTCGCTGCATCTGACTGCGGCGTTTCCGAAGCAGGAATGACGGCTATCCTTAAGAAGGACTCCGTAGAGCTGGTGGATGTCAACAAAAAGAATAGGTTGGTACCCCGTACGCACTCAAAGAACTTTTGATATTAATTAATTATTGCAGCACCACGTCCCTTTCGTGTCATATTACTGGAACAACGTATGCGTTCTGCTATGCTACCAACAAGATTTCGGTTCACGCCACACTAGCCCCCAAAGACCTCAACTGGATGACAATACCAGTTATGACAACGATATCAAATTCCCCGGGCGTACTGAGCGCCTCATTCTCCACTCAGGAATCCCTGGCAACGTCTCCTACGAAGCTGCCACCAGGCATAGAAACGGCTGCTACACCAGCGGCTGCGAGCCAAGGAACATTCAGGCCGAAGACATCATGGGGCTTATACGCCATAATGGGATCTATTTTGGCTGGAACTCTGGGTTACACCTTACTTTTTACATTGATAGGCTCGCAATTTCAATCTTGACAGTGACCAAAGTCTGGCAATTAACTGCTCAGGCTTGCTTGAAAGAAATGGCACCTGTAGCTCGTTTTTCCTCGTTGGTAACAGTACCATTTCACATCAATCATCTTGCATAGATGATCATTAGTCTATCCTAGACAGACGGAATTATGTCATATTTAGATACTCAGATGATCAGGAGATACGATACGCTACTGTGTCTAGTGAGGGCCATCTCCTGTCCAACAAAATTTACTTTTTTCTGTAATTAACATTTTAGAAAACTTTCGATGAAGACGTCCTTAATTTAAAAGTTCTTAGTTGTGTGACAAATCCAGACAGGCGGACTTTCAAGTTCATAATCATGAACCGCACGTAAGGAGATTCCCTCGTATGACTTTAACGGGATTCACAACACTCGTGCACGTATGAATTCCGTATACGCAATATTTATAATGTGTTCGATGGGTTCTAAAGTTCCTGGACAGAACTGCTGCCTTATTCTGGTTGTTATTGCAGCACTAAGACGATATATTTCAGAAGGAAAGAAGTTGAGCTCCGAAGCAAATATATCTGATCTTTGAAATCTTCAGAGGGCACTTTATCTATCGGTATTCTGCTCCGAAGAAAACGCGAGACTGACCGACTTGCCATCCACTGAGATCAAGCTTACTCAATTTGCGTGTTCAGCTCGATATCAGCTCTATATTGCATAGAAGTTTGGTGGTGAGAATTTGATGTTGAATAATGAGAAAGCATCCAAAACTTTCTCGTATTATATACATGACCTTGGCGAAGAAGACAGATCCTCGCTCACATCATACTCATGCGGCATCTCTCGCTCCCACGATTGCCACAAGACCAAATACTGTATCACTGAAATTCCATCTTCGGAGATCAAGCTAGAGGCAATGGCGCCAATCGGTATCTTTTTGCCGACCTAGTTGCTGCGGTTAGCTCGACAGTCCAAACAAATCAAATGGACACACCTACGGTGCTCGATGTCTCGTGACCATCCATGGTGCGGTGAATGCAGGGGAGACTAGATCCTAGCGAATCTTCTTCTGAATACGTGGCATCATCGCTCTCGGATGCCAAAAATTTGCGATCCTCGCTGGTTTCCGAAAGGTCTTCCTCTGTAGTGGAATCGTCGTCCGTTCCTTCAATATTGAGGTCTTCGTAACTGGATAGAATCTCGAAGAGCTCGTTGTCACTTTCCTCTGTATTCTCTGGCATTTTTAACACGATGTGCCAGAATAGATTTGGATAATTCGAGCAAGGCAGAGATCATCTCAATTTATAGAATCATGGGTGTGCGATAATACTCGGTAGCTTGGGTTGAACTATGTGATGACGGGTGAGGCACAAAATGCAAAGTTTTAAGAATGAGCAACAGCCATTACACTCGGTTGGTTGGTTGGTTGATATCATTTACCCTGACCTCTCGCATCGAAAGCGATATGCAGGCTACCTCAACTATATATATCCAAATATGCACATGTAAAGTGATCCACTTCCTGTAAACGAACTTAGAGCCTCGTCAAGGCCTCTCGTGGCCCAATTGCCGCTCTCATTGTTAGGCTGCCCTCAAGGCGCGCGACTGCGGAACCGCTGTGACGCCTCGGCGAAGTCCAGCACGGCGTTGACCGTTTTGGCTCGCGAGACGGTGTCTGGTTTACTTTTCTCACCTTCGTTTGAGCCTCCCAGCAGACTCGAGACGCTATTGAACGTGTCTCCCACTTCCTTTCTTAGTCTCCTCCGCAATTCTGCCAGTTCGGGGCAGTCCACAAGGACATGAGTGACAGTTTCTCGTGCGCCGCAGACGCACTGATCATCCTCGTGGAATCCAAAGGTCTTGGCGTAGGTAGACAACCAGTTATGGCCCGTGCGTAGCTGAGTCAACAGGTACGCCCGCCCTCTGGGCAGGCTTCCGTATAGGACGGCACTTCTCCGAGCCCAGAAACGAAGAAACAACATTGGCACGTCTGCGCGCTTCCCGCTAGCAGAAGCACTGAAAACCATGGACCTGAACAGGCTGAATGAATTGGAAACGATCGACCCACGGCCGCTGCCACCATGGCGTGCTGATGCCTTCATAGAGATTGAGATTGAAACGAATAGAGAAACTGCAAGGGAACGAGCAGACACTGTGCGGACCACTTCCGACATTGCTGTGTATTCAGACGCCTCAGATCGAGAAAATCATCTAGGCGCGGCCGTGGTCGCGCTCGACAAAAACCAGGAGATCACACAGTATGAACAATTTCAAGTGGGGCCAATGGGCCGCTGGTCGGTTCACGTAGCTGAGCTTATAGGCATCTTTTACGCCATCGACATGGTGTTCAGACAGGCTCACCAGCGCTCCAACTACGCGTACGGACGCCCAATAGCGGCGACGATTCTCTGTGATAGCAAGTCAGCCCTGCAATCAATCCAGAACACCAGGAATAAATCAGGACAACGAATCGTCCACGCGATTCTCTCAACGGCCGCGGAGGTCCAGGCAGAGGGCACCGCGCTTCGTCTTCAATGGATACCTGGACATTGTGAAGAGCCTGGTAACGACGCAGCTGACCGACTAGCTCGGGAGGCTGCGCGCCCAGGCAAGAGCCACACCTTCTGCCCGCTACTAACGAGGGAGAATGCGCATATCCGCAGGGAAATCCAAGCTCAGTGGGAACGAGAATGGAAATCAAGCACGAAGGCGGCCATTTACGGAAGATTGACAACGGCCTACCGGCGACGTACACCCGGAGAAGCAGAATTGTGATGGGGACAGAAAAGCAAGATAGTGATTCTGAATGCTACTGTAACATTCCAATCCTGGAAGCTATTTACTGAAACCTATAATTGATCGATCCCAGCCCGGGTGTCTCGTAGACTACTGTTTTTATTATCAATATGGACACCTTACATTGCAATCAAGTTCACATGGCTTCGCACTCTACCATCAAAGTCATTTATAAGGAATTTGAGGACCTGAAGGAGATCGATGAGAACAAATGGAACAGTGACATCATGAGTTACCTCGATAAAAAACATGACGAGATCCAGCTTAGGGGCATATGTAACCCCAGAGGACCGTATAAGGGGTCACTCATTCATTTCGCCGCGATGGGAGATTGCACCGCGCTTCTTCAAAGCCTGCTGGATGCCGGTGCTCCCGTTGAAGATCTTGATCAAAATAAACGAACACCTCTCTCTTGGGCCGCAGAGTATGGTTCTCTCAATGCCACCAAAATTCTGCTGAAGAACGGAGCCAAAATTAATTCTCTTGATGATATGTACAATTCACCCCTCACATGGCTGAAACATGCCGGGAGTCCCACATACAAAGGTCTTGAAGCTACCAGATTGTACCTCAAAAAGAATGGCGCAACTACGAAGGGTGCAAAACGCGCATGGATGCTTAATAAATTGCGACTTCTCTGAAGAAGAGACTGGGGCTTACGTACGGTACTGTACGAAGTGGCTTCTGGCCCAATGGAGGCAAGATATATCTTGATTGAAGCTACCGTTGGTCTTGCCTCAAGACTCCAGCACTACAATACTGTACTGTACAAATAACCAGACACAGCCTTTTCCATGGCCCAATGATAGCAGAACTCGTGATCCAAGAAAATAGATTACTATATTGATTGCTGGGAACAATTTATATGAGAGAATATCTCGGGGTTGTGATAACAGAGTCTCATGGAATTGAATACAATTTCTGCTATTTGAATCCTGGGCCTTGGTTCTACCGACGGCTAACTTCAATAATTAAGCACACTCTTTCAATACCAATACTTGACCCGTAAAAAAGATAGTAGTGTGGCCGTTACAGTATAAATCAGAAATTTGTATGCAGGAAATGAGTTAAACAGAGGCTAAAAGTGTAAGCCGAAAAACGATCCGACAATACGTCAAGACAAAACGCTCCTTCCGCCATCTTCAGTAAGTCTGCTTCTAACCTTGACTTGCAGGTATCCAGATCCTAGCTTTTTGATTTCTTCAATTTCATCACTTCCAGAAGGCGGTTTGATTGCCGCGCTTGGACAAAAGAGCAAAGCTTCACCCACGCGAAGACGAACTATTCTGTCAAACAAAGATGACTTGTCCACATCATTATTCTCTCTGTTCTCATGATTCCCTCGAAGGGGATCTTCACCTAGAGCAACAGCAGCTATATTGCTTTTCAGAGCCCGAAGCCACTCTGGTGATGAGAACCGATGAACAATGGTCAACGAACAGAGACTTAGCAGCGCGGTTGATATCGTGGGCTCTTGTGTTGAGATCACAATGCGGATTCCGAGATGTCGCTGGAGGCGTACGGTAGAGAGAAGAGTTTCGGTAAAAGACTTAGCTTCAACAGAACTGTCCATATACTAGGTGATGTCAGAGGGAATCGGCACCAAATGCAAGGAGTGACTAACTTTATGGGCCTCGTCAAGTGCCACTATCCGACCGATTTCTGTGCTTTGCTCAAGAAATATCCCAAAACAGATGTTGAAAAGGGAGCAGGCCGTATCAGAAGAGATGCACGGGCAGGAAAGGTCAACAATTGTCAGTTGGCCAGACTGATCCGATTAGCTTGGATGTGCTGAATGTACATAGAGTTCACGGCCCGGATTACGTACCCGTGGAGTCCAATCAGAGCCCCATCCTTGAGACCCCTTCTTTTGACCGGTTTTGTAAGCCTGCTGCGCAGGCATGAAGCTCTCTAAAGCATCAAGGCGTTGCTTCAATGGCTCGAGCTGGCCTGATGTGAGCTCAGAGTCAAGAACCCTCATCTTGAACTCTGCATAATCAAATCTGGTTCCCATGTTTTGCTGTACGATTCGCATTTCTCGAAGAATCCGCTGAACAGTGTGCATGTATAGTGGGAGTGGGCCATTGGTTTGCCCCACTGCCATCAGGTCTAACATACGCTTGGTATTGAGATCTTTCTGATCAATCTGCAGTGCTTCGACAGTGATATTAAATCTCGAGTACGTCCCCTTGAGAATATTAGCAAAACACCGTCATTTGATAGTTGCAATCAAGGTACCTGAATCGTTCGAATATTGGTCGGGGCACATAAAACCCTCACTTTGATATCGGGGTGGGAAGCAAGAAATGCCGCCTCGCATGGTGATCCTCCATTATCACAGATAAAAGTGTCATAGTGAAACACAACAGCTGTGAGCGGGTTTGGCAGCTTCGCAGCCCGGGAAGGGATCAAACAGTTTTCCAGAATGCATGACAAGGTATGGCTTTTCCCAGAGCCTTGAGACCCACAGATAAATGTACTGGATGGCGATGAAACGTTGAAAAAAAGCCTAGGGTCTTCTCCCCAAGTACTCGTCTCGTTCGAAGCAGAAAAATACGACCCATTGGCTTTTGTTATTCCTGCCAGTAGTCCATACTGTGAAACCTCTCCGGTGGGCCTCGACGGAGATGATTCGTGGCAGCTGCACATGCGCTGGGTAAAAACTGGCGCAAGTGATATTTCCTCAAACTTTTCTTCTTCGCTTCCAAATTTCAGGAGACCAAGGTGATATGCCAGGTCACGATCTTTGCCGAGAGAATTTAGCTTTATTTTGAAAAGAAACATAATGAGTAATGATGACAACGTACCATTGGGGCAATTCAGACAATTAGAGCGTTCAGACATGATTAAGGATGTAAGGAATCCTTGAAGAAAATCTCTGCAGTTGATTTTAATGCGAAGCAGGAAAGATATATAAGCTTGCGGTTGCTCTCGCAATTTCATTTGGGACCTCGATCTGGTGCATTTAACGCCAAACCAGGGAAAAGAAAATTGCTTCCATATGGAGAGGAACGACAATTGCGAATGCGACAGGTATCTCTTTCTCTCCTTGAACAAGGTTTTTCGATCAGTAACACATAAAATATAGTGAGTTACAATACAATAGCCGTGAATAATCTTCAGGGCAACAATTATCCCTTCTCGGATATAATAACATGGGCCGGTGGATAACCCTTAATTCGGAAAATCTTTTTGGATAACGATTGACTACTGCAATCTGGTATTAATGGCCCGACAGACCTTCAGCTCAGGACTTATGTCATATCATGAGATTTATGTTACAATTTGACTAGTCACATTGAGGTCCGCTTTTAACTCGTAATCCATACACTGACAACCAGCGATTTGTTTGATAGATAGAGAGAGCCAACAACCACTTACTATTGCCGAGAATCTCTCATTCACTTACCCCTTGCTGAATGCGGAGATCAGAGCTTTAAACTAAATTAAAGAACGTTCCTATTCCCGACATGTTTTCGCAACCTGCCCTCTATTAGAAAGGAAGTGGCTTCTTTGATCTTTCAAAGTGGCCGCTCAACCAAACATTCACAGGATTTGAGACGCCTTAGAATACCATCAATTATCCTAATCTGGGGTTATAACATGGATGGTTAGCCTTTATTCCGGTTACACATCGATATTTCATGCATAGTACCATATGCGAAATGCATTCTATTCTAGCAAGCAGAGGAGACAATAGCTCATACGTATATGCTAGGAGAGAACGAAATAAAATATAGTGATGCAATATTGAATGCGTGTAAGGGAGAAGTCAGGAATTTTTTGACGGAGATATCTATCTAGGCTAGATTATGAGTATGATATGGTAAGAAGTTTTCTCCTAAGAGAAATTAGAATGTGCAACAATAGTTCGCCCTTCCAGTAGCTCCGTATCACATAGCTTTAAAAATTCTTCCTAGTGAAAAGATATGACTTGGCTCCTGGGATTGTATCGGATTAATTGCTAGTACTGTCAATTCCTCTTTTCTCTTGCATTTCCTCCTCGGCAATTGAATTGAAACGATTTTCGAAACAGTTCCTTTTATTCTCAGATAACATCTTCTGTGGTACTTCCTCCCTGCCTCCTGGAAGTATCAAAATGTGGAGCCATCTCTTGAAACATCTCGTAGTAGAAACAATAAATCATCAGAGCCCTTCGGCAATTGGAGAATGTCCGCCGTCTCAATGCGCTCCAGAGGAAATTCGGCTGCCTTGGATGAGCTTGTATAGATCAAGGAGCTCAACAACGGCTCGGCGGCCTTGCAAACTGAGCGTAAATAATCACCCTGAGACTGATCCAGAATGTCAATAAAAGCCTTCAGGTTGGTGTCGTTAATTTCGCGGATCCTGATCCCTATTAGCATGAGAAATCTCACAAAGCAGCTCCATCACCTACTTGTTATCCGATATTCCCCAGCTGGGTCCCCTTGTTCCCTGGAAAGGTTGAATGAAGCAAAGTATCGCGAGGCCAAACTTGTCCACAAAGACCTGAAAACGGCTTGCCAACACTCGGTATCGTTTCATTATCACTTTTTTGGAATCGTATTCCCTTGTGCCAGGTCTTAGGGAAGGAAATGTCTCGGTCATCATTCTTTGAGTTACATCCGCGCAAGCATTGCTAATAGGGTTTCCCTTTCTCCCGGGCCTTTGAAAACTACTGTCTGCATAGACAGGAATGATCACCATACTTCCTCCGCTCTCGCGGCCTCCAGAATTCCTGAAAAGCTCCATAAGATGATAGCGCTTCAAAAGAGCGTTAAAGGTAATATCTCCGTCCAATTTGTCCATGATGTTAAAGCGATCCCCAGTCGACATTTCCATCGAGACTTTTCGTGGCTTGTCAATCTCCGTTGTCTTGGATGCAAATATGGCCTCTTGTAGGAACGTGAAGGCATTTGCATCTGCAATTTGAAAGAGCAGTAAGACTAAGGTCTCGGACGACTGCAATTCCAAGCACTGCGCCTGAATGTCTTCGTTGAAATAGGTCTCTGATGGGAGCTTAGTTCCTCTAGACTGGCACCTTTCATTTTCTTTTAACAAAAGTGCTTTCCATTTTGGTCTGTCACCTGTCATTGCATGTTTGCCTTTCCGAACTCCATAATCGCTAGAAGCTTTTCTTTTCCTTGGCTTTTCTCTCGAGAATTGAGTATTAGCCCGCTGTTCTGTGAGAGCCATCACACCATCACCATCCGTTTCAATCGACCTCGGATTATAAGTTGATCCATTTTGTGATGCATCTCGGACTGGAAACATAGAATCACATAGTATATTTGGCATCATATTCGAAAATTGAAGGCAAGCCAAATGAGATTCTGCGTCTGGAAAGCCGATAAATTGGTGGTCAGTATCAAGTACCTCGGTTGGTTTTTGAGTATTCTCGCAACGACCCTGACTGCAATCTACCAGCCCCAAACCATCAAGTCCTGTAGAGAGAATTGGAAGGACGGTATCAGCACATTCGCTTGTAGAGGAAGCTATATGTGTAGCAGCATGGGTGCCACTTTTATCACTCAAGGTAATCCCGTTCTGAGTGCCTGGCGAATCTTGAAGTTGTGGACTCGGCCTACTGATTGCGGCATCGCGTCGGCTCCTGGCTTCAGCTACAGACGAATAATTTGTGACTGGTCCAAACGAGCTCTTTGCCATCTCTGATTCGTATGATTGTAACAAATGAAGTCCGGATCCCTCCTCAAGAAATCTGACCTGAAGCGTGAGTATTTGCATCTCTGTGCTTTTTTCTTGATTATTGACCCACCCTAGTTTTATCACACACATCCTTACACCCTCTGAGCCGCGTGTGAGATACGCGGTGGCAATAAGTGCGCTGATGGCAAAAGCAAGATTGTTTTCGGTTTCTTTGCCATTTTTACCATATTCAATCAGGTGGTCGATGCCATTCCTCTTCGCCACAGATGCCCGATACACGCTTGAGTTGTATTTGGTGCTGATATCGGAATTGATCTCTATTATAAGGTATCAACATCGTACATGCTTTCTAGGGGTATTCAACTGACCCCTCCTCAGTGAGCCTTTATATCCCATTTCCAGAAAGCAAGTATTGATGCAGGTCGTGCCAAGCTGAGCCAGGGCTTTGAAACCATCTGGGTATTTTTGGTCTTCCCCGGCCACAGTCAAAGCTTCCTGGATGAGGTCCGTCGGCATTTCCGGAATTTCAAGAAGAATACGGACTTTATCGATCGAAATCGCACGCATTTTGGATTCCTTGGTAGCAGTAAAAAGGGACTGATGCTCTTCACAGGGTTGCGAAGACACAACAGTGGTGAAAATATAACCACTTTATAGCTTTGCCAGTTTTCTTCACCGACATTAAGTAGGCTTAGTGGACGTGGAAGAACTGTCTAGTTTCTCGTGGGTTCAAAAGCTTGACAATCAAACAAAGCATTGTTGAGTCGGGCTTCCAGATATTGGGCCCACATGCATGCATTGGCATTTTACCAATTCAGACCTGACTAGCCGTAGTCATTGTCGCAGTATTTGCGCTCCTTCACACCACCAGAGAGAGTAAATCACCAATTTTGGGCATACCGGAGCTCATATAATGGGGATATGAGCCAAATGCATGTGGCTTGAGAGGACTGCAGACCTTTCACCGCAACTTGGGTGGACAGACCCCGTTGAGGAAGTATTGACACTGGTTAGTCGATAATACCAGAAAGGGTCATACCGGCCACGATTCCATAAGGAAAGATGCCTGATGCAAAGGATTGTGGAAGTTACAGTATTGTGTCCAGAAGCTCTTTGAATTAACGAATAGGGAGAAGGGACAGATCCTAATTAGTGAAGTCAGATAAAAATACAGGCATTGTTAGGTACGGTTAATTTGACTGAGAACCATTTTATACAAGCCAATTGGTGTGTGAGCGCCACCGTAAGAGCATAATGAAGCTAATTAAAAGCATCGTGTACATAAGAGCGCAGTCGTGTAGGAGCGCCGTTGTAAACTGTGTGCGAGAGCAAGTTGGGAGGATATAAAGAGAACATCACACCGCCCTTTATTTTCCGTTTTAGAACAATTGATAAAGTCATTAGCTTTACTCATCATGTACATATACCTTGGATGAGAGACATTATCTTGGGTAAAAGAAACTTGCCCTGCAATCAGTCTGAGCCGTGCTTCAGAAGGACCGGATTTAAAGACAGCTAAAGACAGCTCACGCACGTTCTAGCCGTTGAAGCACGATATTGAAGAAGCTGTGCGAAACACAGTATTATGTTCAAACTCCAAGAATTGTAATTGTCGTAAAAATTGCCCATACTTAATTTGACATGTTGAAATTACCTCTAAGGACACAGAATAGTGGTAAGTGGTCAGTAAAAAACAGGGTTCTACGGAAATGTAATATCAGTTTTTAGCTCCAAATATATCACATTCAGCAATAAAAGAAAGTACCATACGCCGACATTGCTTGGTTTCCATCCACATAGATATAATTATTATCCTGCGCTCTCACTGGAAAGAGGTAAATACGGCTAAAGCAACATCTGGATTTTGAACATAGTACAGTACCTCTGACCTCCAGTGAGAGAACGTTGCGTGCGATATAAAGAGGCGCCAATCGATCACTGCAAGAAACAATCCTTCGTTTTTGTTGAGCTCCTTTTCTCTTAGACCAGAGAAGGATGCCCAGCGTCGCGTCGAGTGCCCATAATCCTGAGTGAACTTCCAACCCAGCATGAGAGCTGCAAGGAACATCCGCCGCTGACACTGTAGAGGCTGAAGCTCCTGGGGTACTTCAAACGGCTCAATGGGAAACTTTTGCTTAATCGTGAACCGCAAGAGAGCTAGATAGTAGAACGCCGCGATGAGTGTATGATATGTCGTATGAGATCTTCGAAGGATATTTTTCAGATAAACCCGAAACCCCGTCGAATTTTTGGGGCTGTTCTTCGCTAGAGGAGACCAGAGGATAATAAGAAATCTTTCCGAGAAATCTAACGATGCAAGTATGAGCATCATGAATATTCTTGTTATTAGATGACTTACCAATGAACTCTTCGATAGAGACAAGCCGTCTGATTCCTTTGTTCTCGCTCAAAGGTTGAACCATGAGAATCAAATCTAGGGATAGCGAGAAAGAGAGATGGGCTCTTCGCCTGAATTTTGAGGGACAGTGGATGTAGAACCTCTACCCAGGGCATCTTCTCCGTCAGCATGATTTGGAGTAGGTAGGCATGAGCTAACATACCTAATAGGAGCACTCTTCGCAACCAAGCCAAGGTGAGCTAGTGCTTCTTTTTGCATTCGATCACAAAGACGAGTCTAGCTTCATTCCATACCGGAAACAAAGTATGTTGGCAGAGGTTAAGAGCTAGGCTAATGTATTGATATGTAGGTTGCGTTATTTCTAGAAGAAATCAGTAGCTGATATCGATATTGCGCTTTCAATCGTGTTCACAGAAGGAGTCGTCAAGGATGATAAAGGCTGGAATTTTTCGGGGTCCAGGTCGATGAGACGATGAGAGGGTGTCACGATAGCAGCTCTCTTGGTGACGAGACTTTTATTTTATCGGAAAAGCCGTGAACTGCGTCATAACCTACACAGTTACAGCAATTACCGGTGACTGGAGAGAAATCCGAGGAAATTAAATCTCCAATTTGACCTGTTGCATACTACACAGTCAAATTCTTGCTGCTGCTCATGGCCACACCAGTCTTCCCTTGCTGATGAACCATATTTAGTGTTTTTCCAACATGACTGAATCTTTTCGTGTAGATCAACAGCTTTATTTCAACATTCAAAGATCAACAGTTACCTGTACGAAATTGAGCAAGATTTTGTCTCAGAGGAATGGTACCTAGTTTAAGGTTGGCGGTGAACGTTGAAACGCGTGATCGAAGCTTTTCTGCGGCATTCGCACGACTGCTCAGATGGTGCCAACTGTGGCAAAAGCTTTTCATATACTGTGTCACCAGAAAACCTTGTTATCAACGATGATAATTGATCAATTCGGTGATGATTATCTGACACCCAACATCGTAAAGATAAATCGGTATGTGCAATTGTCCACCAATATACATTCATATCATGTTGTTGAGATGTTTGTTTTTTCTGCTTCCACTAGCATCAATTCCTGTCTGGCATTCTTCTGTTTGCTATTGTGAAGGTTGCTATTGTGAAGCTGTTGGTTTGTATAAAACATTATATTCCAGAAGTAGTCTTCTTTACAAACTTGTCCGCACTGCGAGATACAAGTAGATTTGTATGCTCAGTCGCTGTTCTCTTAGTTGGCAGCGCTTCACAAGAACAAGTGCCTTCTAGGAGACTTGTCCTAGAAACAGAGCTCTCTCAGAAGAAAATTCTCGTGCTCATCTGCTCCCCAAGAAGAACCTCTTAGGAGTCAAGGATTCACATGAAGATCCTGATTGTACTGCGCACTGCCGGGTAAGCTGCTTCATCACTCTCCTGCACGTCCCACAGCGCGAGCGGCCATTGAAATCAGCTTTTCCTCCATCCTTAATCCTTCCGCGGCCACAATGGCTTTCTCTTCATGTGCGGAAATCAAGAATATCGCATTGGTATCATCCGCTGTTGCTGCGTGGTAACAATGGGCTGGACGAAGGCTTTTGAGGCTCACATCGTAGAGTGTAAATCCTTTGCAGGAATACTTTCGTGCGAGCCGCTCCATGGGTGAGGGGTCGGACGGGTCTACGAGGAGACAGTCTGATTGATTCCACTGACTTCGTTCGAGCGACCAGAACTTGATCTCAATCAGCTCTTGTGTAGATGCGTGGCCTTTGGGATCAGTATCTTGTGCTGTAATGTGTTCGGTGTCTCTGTGTATTACCTCCGCCAGGCGATCACCCGAGGTTGCCAGAGAGTTGTGGGTATTATCTGGCACAATTGGGTCTTCAGGCTCAGTTTGCTTATGATGGAGTAGACTGAGCTCTTCGTTGAGCCGGTCACTCTCCATCCTTTCTTCTAGCTCCTCCTGCTCTGATTGGGCCCTTCTGAGACCATGAAGGAAAGCCTCCAGCTCTTCTGACATAGGGGGGACGGCTTTCTTCTGACAGGATTACCGTCTCTGATGAAGACCGTCGCTGTGACGTAGGATTGGTGAATGACTGAGCAGCGCTTTCGGGCACAGACGCAGTGTGTGGGTTGAGCTCCTCTTCTGTCGCTCTTTCGTCCTGATCCCATTGAAGCGAGACTGTCTCCAACGAGATCTGAGTACATTCGCTTCCAGCATCTTCAAGGGCTAGCTCAGCTCTGGGTGAGCAGCGAGAAAGATCCGTTCCCAGCACCGATTCGTCATGTGTTCGTCTGAGAGTGGTGTGATCTCCACCTGAAGGACTTATCCGATCTAAAGTCCACCGGCTCAGGTGCAACTTCTGAGCCTTCCGTCTCACAGGAAACCAGTTAGTGTGTAGGGAAATTGCTTTTTGGAAGAAGGGATGACCTGCCTGATGTATCCATGTGGTGTGCAGATCCATCCATTGGGTCGTGGTATTCGATAAACAATGGCGACTGTAGCATCCCCTCCGCCTCTGTGTCTGCATTCATACCACCATTCTCTGTGGTGGAGCTTGGCCCCACCCTTGATGACTTCCCCAAAAAGGCGAAAAAGACACAACGCCGAACAAAAAAGCTAGTGATTGTATCGGCGGCATCGACATCAGCATGCAGTCGATCTAAGAATAACAAAGGGGCATCTTGAACATGGGTGCGGGTTTGCGGAACCCCAGAGCGAGCGTGCGTCTTGACGGTGCTGTCTGCCAAAAGATCTCGCGGGGGACCGGGCCGATCGGGCACAGCTTCAGTAAAACAAGCTACAATCCGGCGCACCAGAATATCAAAGTGCTGGTCATCGTATCTATACCGGCCTGGCTTCCGGGCCTGGAGAAGGGCCGATCGTGCAATTTGGTGATCCGGAGAACTGTTCAGCAGCCCATCAATTTCTGGGGACCGAAATCCGAGCTGATGAGCAAGATGAGCCATGTCGTAGATCGCGCGCGGGTCCGGCTTAGCGCGAGCGGGGTTGGCCAACAGATCATCAGAGTTCTTGGGGTCCGGGGGCATCAGTGGATAATGTCGCATAGCATACAGCCATAATTGCTGGTATCCTGTCTCGAGGCATTCTGTCTCGGATGCATGAAGGTGTCGGAAGGTAGACTCCGAGGTCTGAATGATACATTTCCTTTTCTCTCGGTGACCTTCCCCAGACTCCGAGTCTGGGTCAAACATCGAGCTCAT